TGGTAACGGCGGCCTCGGCCACCGGCCTCCCCCCGCCTCGGCGGCAGGAGCTGCCCTGCACCGGCCCCGGCACCTCATCCCTGCTCCGGCCGCCCCCCTCTAACGATCCTGGCTGACCCCCAGTATCCGCGGGGTGCCCTGGGTGGGGAGCGGGGTTGTGAGGTCCCCGGGGCCTCGAATGATGCTCTCCCAGCATCCTCGGGATGGCCTGGACAGGGAGTGGGGCTACAGGGTTCCCCGTTTAATGATGCTTTTCTACCCCAAACATCCTCAGGGTGCCCTAGACAGGGAGTGGGGCAGTGGGATCCCCCTCTAATGATATTTTCCAGCTCCCAACATCCCTGGGATGCCCTGGAAGGGGAGCAGGACAATGAGACCCTTCTTCTAATTATACTGTCCACCTGCCAGCATCCTCAGGGTGCCCCAGGTGTGTAGCAGGGCGATAAGGTCACCCATCTAGTGATGTTCTTCAACCTCGCAGCAACTCCTTTGCCCTTCTTCTCCCAGCTGGAGTTTCTGGGAGGAGTGAGAGGGACCTGGCACAGCCCCAAGCGCACTTCCACAGAGTCACACCAGTGCCTGGGTGGTGTTTGGGTCACCGGGCGGTGCAGGTCCTCCCACAGCCCAGGTACACTGCCCCACTGTAACCCAGGAACAGGGGTGTTGTACTTGTGCTGCGTTATTGCTCCAGGTAACTGTACTGTTCGGCTGATAGCAGCCTCAGAAGGTACAAGCAGTGCTGGGGCAGGAATACAGCCTGTTTCTGGGGTGTTGTAAAAAGGAGGATGGCTTCTGCAGTGATATGGGTTAAATTGTTCTCTTCCCACTTCAAGATAAGTACCCCAGGTGTAAAAGATACTGTACAAGGGTCCTGAGAACTGCAATGTTTCTGGCGCTGGATAACCCCTTCAGAGGTGCTTCTCTGAGGTCATGGCAGGGGCATGGCCCTGCTGTGAAAAATCCATCCAGGCCAGCTCCATGCTCTCACCAGGGCACACTGTGGGGCGAGGCATTGGCTGTGGGAAGCACAAATTCCCTTGTTACTGTTTGTGGGCCTTTCCCTGTGCACTTATTTAGGAGCTGAGGCTGGTTTGGGTCCTGCTGATGTTTCACTTGCATCAGGTATGTCTGAAATGTGAGAGGGGTTCACCCTTAATTGCTCTGCAGCCTGAGCCATGGCAAGGAAAGACTGAATACCTCCTGACAGATCTGGATGGAGAACAGGCATGAGAACGCAAACTCTCTGATTTCCCTCTGTTTCCCCGTTGTGCTGGGGGTGGGCAGTTGCCCCTGACCGCAATTCTGCCCGATGTGTGCAGACCACAGAAGGGAATCTGAGCCCACTGCCAGGTGTGTGCATGTACATAAGTGAAATAGGCAGTAGCCATGGGCTGAGACCTCCCAGATTCCTCTATGTCACCAAGCAGGTCATGGTGACCCACAGATGACAGTCCCTGGGATAACTTGTACCTGGTCCCGCTGAGCCACCCACTCCCACTCCCCAGCTACTTCCCTCAGCTTCATATGTGGCATTTCCTGGGTGGCTTGAGCAGACGTAGGTACACTGAACAGTGCTGCAGACGGGTGGGACCACAGGCAAACAGTGGGATGCGTTGCTTCATATCCCTGACAGATGGCAAATGTAGTCTCCTTTAACACTGCCACTAGTCGCAGAGCCCAGCCCTGCTGTTTTGACACTGACTCAGCCATGAAGACACATCTCCAAGGTGACTCTGTGCTCGGGAGCGAGGATGTATCGTGTAAATTTGCTTACATTCAAGGACGTGTGTTCTTTCTTGTTGTTTGGGTCCGGAGAAAGTTTTCCCAAGCTTGCTGATGTTTTCAACCTTGTACAGTCAAGCTGAAGCCACTGAGGTCCTAGCACGTGGCTCCACCAGTGGTGGGTTGTGCTGGTGTAAAGAACGCTCTGCCTGAAGGCAGGTCTTGTGCATAGTCCATCAGCACAGGCCGTGGTCAGAGATTGTGTTGAATCCTGTGTTACTGCAGGCAGCTGTGTTCTTCTCCCACACCTCCTCACCCTGCCTGTTGTGCCCTCAAAGAGGGAGTCACTTCAGTGGCTTGATCCAGCAGGAAAACCACCCACTAAAAAAAACCCAAACCTTCCAACAACCTGAAATAATTATTCCTTTGGATTAACCAGCTGGACAGGAAGCCTTCGGTTCTTTATGTGTAGGGAAGGGAACAAGACTTGGGGAGACCTGGAGTAGGGAGGACGTCGCTCTCAAAGCCAGCCTGCAGCTATGGTGGATGAAAGGCAGTGTCAACCCCTCCTTCCCCAGACATGCCATGGGGTTGTGTGTGTGCCTGTATTTTTCCACTGTTGACCTGACCGTGGATGCCTGCATAATGGGCATACGTTATAGTACCAGCTGCAGTTTTATTTAGAAGGGAGTAATGAATATTTTGTTCCAACAGGCTTTTGAAATGAACGGCGACCATCTGGTTAAAAGTTTTGCTCTCAGTCATGTCACGATTCCCCAAAGTTATAATCGAGCACCTCTCTGCCCTGGTCATGCCAAGCAGATTTATTTTTAGGTCTGGCTATTGAACAGGCTCCCAGTTTTCAAAGACCATTAGAATCCCGCTCTCATTATTAACAGGCGCCCTGGAAGCAGGGACTCGCTTTTGCCTGGAATCAGTAAAACTTCTCACTGGTGCTAACAAAGCCGCGGCAGATACTAATGAGGGTTTGAGGGCAAATGCTGCTTCAGACAACACTGAACCTTGAAAAGCACAGAGCTGGCTGCAAAACCAACTGTGCTGCTCTTAAGAAAAAAAAAAAAAAAGCTGTCGCTTCTCTTTTATTAGGTGTGTATCCCCAGAGAGTCGTTTTAAAACTCCAAAGTACTGTTTTCTCTGCCATTGGATACTCTCTGATACTTTGGGGAACAGTTTCAATTTTCCACTGTCAAGCTGTTTGACTGCATTGATTTTGTGTATTACAGCAGCAACAGGTCATGGGCGAGACTGAGATCTTTTCTTTCAGGTGCCTACACACAACAAACGTTTGTAATCTTACCTTCCCTAAAGAGAGATATGGAGTTCAAACATAGGGAGCACTTAGCCTGCTTGGTGGTAAAGCTTGCAGACAAGCTCCTAACCTGATTGATGGGTCCTCAGGTAACTGGATTATGTGCTGGAAATTAGCAGAAAACCAGTTTGCTCCAGAGGCTACCCAGTCTGTGTTGTCTATCTGTGTCCATTTTATTGGGATAGGTGAATTAGGTATGTGTAGTTAGCTACCAAGAGTAAAAGTTTCCCACTGAATTCCAGTTTAAGGTCTGGTTGCACTGGAAATGAGTTGCCCCAGCAGGTTGTTCACTTTCCAATAGGAGAATTGAAGAGTGTCTCTCGTTTTCTCTCTGCAGCATGGACAAGGACAGCCAAGATATTCACCAGGTGCTGAATGAGCTCAAGAACAAGTTCCAGGAGATGAGGAAGCTGATCAGCTCCATGCCCGGCATCGGTGTGAGCCCAGAGCAGCAGCAGCAGCAGCTGCAGAACCTGCGGGAGCAGGTCCGGACCAAAAATGAGCTGCTGCAGAAGTACAAGAGCCTTTGCATGTTTGAAATCCCCAAGGAGTAGGAAGGGCACATCTCTGCTTTCTGGGTCGGAGCTACAGGAGAGAAAAAGGTGGCAGAAGTTTACTTTTTCTTTCTTTTATGCTTTTTTTTGGTCATGTTCTCTGTAGTTGTGTCTGTGTGGATCACAGGCCTGTGACACTGCACCAGAACACTGTGTGCTTCACTTGTGACCATTACAGCCATATGTCCACTTTGATCTGCTGTAGGGCTGTACATTTAAATATGCATCCCTTCTGTTTTCTCTCAGGGTGGGGTGGGGTTGTTTTTTTACATTCAAGCCAGCAGGAGACATTATGTTTTCTCCTGGCTAAGGGTCAAAGTACCTGCTGGTTAACTTCAGCAAGAAGAAGGAGGCATTTTCTGCAATTTTTTTCACTTAAAAGTGGCCAGACTTCAAAAGGGAGCATAGAGGGAAGCATGAGCTGTTTGGCCTTGCTCCTGGAAAGGGTCTCTGGGGCACTTTCCAGCCTGTGTGTGTCGAAAGAGGAATGATTGCTTTCAATTACTTTTGTATTTCTCTCTTTAAACAAGTGATGGCTGTGTCTGAGTTGAGTAAAGATTTAGAAATTCCAAACTGCCCCTCTTGTGTATTCACTGAGTGGATGTGGGCTGAGCAGGGGCAGGACTTTGGCAGCACAGAGGATGTGCGTAGCCTGGGCCCAGCTCCTCTGTCTCTATGTGGCTTTTTTGGGAGAACAAGAGACTGCCAGGGGAGTGGATTTCAGTAGGCTTTGGGTACCTAAGTCTTCTTGGGTGACTGTAGCTAGTAGGCAGTATGTTAGGCATCTTGTTTTTAAAGCAGAGGAAGGGCAAGCAGAATCCAAACAAAGGGCATAAATGACAAGAGGTTTTAGTTATTCCATACATGACTGAAGTCAGGCTGAACAGGGTCAGTTTCACATCCAAGTGCTCTAGGGGCTTCCCACAAACACAGACATTTGAGCAGCTTGAACGTTTGCCAGCAGCTGATGGAAAGCTCTTGAATGTGTCACACTTAGGCAGGTCCCGGGGCGCTCTGCCCTCCGTCCTGCTGTCAGCTGTTACAGTGGCAGACGACACCTTGGTAAGCAGCACCGCGTCTCGCCAGCTAACGAAGATGGGACAGCACCTTGAGCCTTGTGGTTCTCTGAATTATGCTGGGTGATAGTGCAGGTCAGTAGTGGAAGAGGTGAAAAAACAACTGGTGAAATGCAGGATCTGTTGTGAACCAGCATCTGAGGGCGGGCAGCACGCATGGCTTCAGAAGAAGAGACACAAGGTCTCTTTGGGAAGGGCTTTCCTTTCCTAAACCAAAAGGCAAGTAATTCTGCTTGTTGGGAGCTGGGGTAGTTGCACTCACCTGTAGCTGAGAGATTACTCTGTCCCTGCTGGAGTACTTCACTAGTACTCTGGAAAGGTGCCAGCGTGTAAACTCTTGAGTAAAGCAGAACACCAAGATAAACAAAGCACAATGTACGCTCTTTATTACTGAAATTACCTTTCTGCCAGCCGTTGCCTGTCCCAGGTCAATAAATTCTTGTGTTTCATGCCTGGATGGTGGTTTCCCTTTTTTTGCCAGTTGCTGTTCCTGTGAAATCGGGGCATATGCAGAGCTGGAAGAAACAACATGTTTCCAAAGAGATGTCTGGCACTTAGCACAGGAACAAGTTAACTCTGTCAACTTGGATCCAAGTTTCAAATGAAACTGAAGCGGTTTGGTTTGCAGTCTCATCCACCTTAGTTTTGTGGCTTTGACAGAATTTTTTTGCCATTAATATGTATTAAATGTAGGTTTGTTCTGCCGCTTGAGGCGGGGAACGGGGGCTGAAAATGAACCTAAACAGAAGCTGGAGCCAGGGAGAGCTGTTCCTGGAAGAGCTTTCCCTTCTTCACTTTAGCAATGGTTACTGTAACTTGTTATTAGGAAGAGATTAAAAAATATCAGATGTAAAGGTGACCTTTTGAGCAAAGTACTTCCTCTACTCATATTGCAAAACAAAAACAATGTCCCGGACGGGACTCAAATGAATCACTGTTGACATCATTAAAGTGTGCTTAGTTAATCAGGAAAAAGCACAAAACACAATCAGCTCTTTATAATGAAGTGATGTCAGTTTGCTGGGTTTCTGCAGTAAATGACATGCCAATGCCTGGCATGCCATGGGGCTGGCAGGATCGTCACTTGGCATTAGCGAAGTGAGGAAAGAGTCCTGGCTCCGTGACCTGTTTGAGTAACTAACTGTGCATGGCCCCTCGTTACCCCATGTGGCAAGAAATCGGCTGCTTGCAGAGTTGGAAACCTTTGCACTGGGAGTCAGAGAAAATGGGGTAATAAAGGGATTGAGTGGAGAGGCCATATTTAGCACCTCAGAGCTGGGCTCAGGTCTTGCTTTAACAAGATTTGGTTTTGCTATGGGGCAGGGTGAGGAAGCAAAGACAAACCCCCAGGTGTCGTTTTAAAAAGGTTTTATTAATTTGTAGAAAAAATAAAACATCAAGTTTCACCCACGGTAGAAACACTTGAAGATTTTTTGTTCATGTCAATGACAAACAATACCTACATAAAGTGCCTATTATTATTTAAAAAACCCTTCCCACGCCCCCCACCCTCCCCAAATCTTGCAAATCAGACAAGACAAATGTAAACAAGAGTCAGTTTTTGGTCCATTGGGGCTGTAACTTTGCAATGTCTTTGCAACAGCTTAGGAGTGTCTTCTGCATGTGTTTTGCAGACACAGATGAACACACGACACAGAGCCAGAGTCCGTGCACAGCTTCTCAAGTTTAAAAAAAAACAACACAAAGCAACACAAACCCCAACCCCAAAGCCCCAGGCAGGTGCTGGCAGGCCTCTGCCCTCCCTCTTGAAGGCAGTGCCTGAGTCTGGGTGGTCTGGGAGGGAAAGGAACATCAAAGTCAGTGCCCTCCACACTCATCTTCCCACCTGGCAGCTCACCCTTTCCCTGTCTCTCTGCCCAGAGGAGCCGGGTCCCAGCAGCACCCCCCTCCTGCCCTCCAAAGCCTCCCCCTTCGCATCCCTCTCTCCCAAAATTCACCCCGGGGTGGGAGAGAGCTGATGAAATCGATCCCCTCGGGAGGAGGGAGGCTGGGGAAGAGGCAAAATTCCCCTTCTCTCTGCCCGAGTGGGCACCGGCCCACCCTCCTGCATGCCCAAAGTCAGTTCAGAAATGAGCATCTTTCCCCCCTCCCTTCTTTCCTTCCTTCCTTCCTTCCTTCCCGTCACGGGGCGAGCGGGGGTTCCTAGCTGATCACACAGCGGTCCTTCTCCTTGCTGTGCCCGCCGCCAATGGCTTTCTCTCGGATGTACATGAGGTCGCTGTGGACGCTGGGTCGCCGGGCGAAGGGGGCCACGATGCCGTACGCCTCCTCCGTGCTGCCCCGGCCCCCCTCTTTCAGCAGCTTTTTGCCTTTCAGCGCCTTCTTGTGCAGGATGTCGCAGTATTGGACCGAGACTTTGCGGTGCAGGTCGGGGCTCATCTCGCTGGGTAGCTTGGCCATAGCGAAGAGTGCCTGGAACATCTGGTCCAGGCTGCTGTTCTTCTTGGCCGAGATCTCGAAGTAGGCGCATTTTTTCGGGTCCCCTCCCACCAGCTGCTCGATCTCCCGGGGTTGCACCTCCCGGTAAAAGTCCCGGTCGCCCTTGTTGCCACAGATGACCAGGGGCACCTCTATGTTCTCCTTGGTTTTGTTCTTCAGGCACGACTTGGTCTCCAGGATTTGCTGCTTCAGGCGCTGCACCTCCTCAAAGGAGTCCCGGTTGTCCAGGCTGAAGACAAGGATGAACACGTCTCCTGGAGACAAAGAGGAAACGTGAGATGGTTGCAGGGATGGGGACACCCCGAGATCTGCTGCTTGACCCACACGGAGACTTGGGGAGGGACGGATTAGGCAGCACCTGAGTCCTGTATCCTCCTGTCCACCCCATGCACACGCAAAATCCCACCTCCCTCCTCCCGGGACTGGAGAAACATCCCCAAACTGGGCAAGACCTGACATCTAGCAAGGGAACCCCCCCGCTGGTGCTCCCCAGCCAAGTACCTGTGAGGATGGAGAGGCGGCGCATGGCTGGGAAGGGGTGGTTGCCCGATGTGTCCAGGATGTCGAGCTGGTAGACTTCACCGCGGATGCTGTAGAACTTGCGGTGGAAGTCCTCGATGGTGGGGGTGTATTGCTCCTCGAAGCGGCCGGTGAGGAAGCGCGAGACGATGGCCGTCTTGCCCACCTTGGAGGAGCCCAGGATGACCATGCGGTAGCAGTTCTTGGCGGGGATGCTCAGCTCGGCCTCGCTGGGACACATCTTCTTGATCATCGCTGCCAGTTTCATTGAAGCCAGCGAAAGGGCAGCTTGCGGTGAGAGGAACGAGGAGGAGGAGGAGGAGGAAGGCGATGTCAGCCCGGCTGCTCAGCCCCTCTCCCCTCGCAGGAAAGGCCGGTGTGAGCTCGGCACGGCCGCCGCCGCCGCGTTATATGGAGGCGGCAGCGACCGCCCCTCGGCGCGTCACGGCCCGGGGCGGCGGCGGCTGAGT